GTATTTCTTTATTGAAAACAGGTTATCATGATGCTGTGAAGCATTGGGTAACAAAACATAAACATTATACAGTATCAAACATTTTGTTCACTTCCATTTTAAATGGCTTCCTTAATTTACCCCCAGTACAGCGACAGTAGACTGTTTTCATGTCAGTGTTTCTACCATGTGTTATATATCTGTATGTACACATGACAGCTTTTCTGCCTCGTCACACGTGTACAGTATGTTTATCGTCCTCCTTAAGAAGTCCAAATAAACCGGCGTGACGGGAAAAGTACGTTACATACACCTGTGCATATACTGTAGATTCATGTGTGGACATACAAAGACGTAGATGTCATATTCAGCTACATGTAGCAGGGGCGTAACCAGACCTTTTAAAATTGTACGCACAGATTTTGAAAATTCCCAGGTACGATTATATTCCGTGAAAAATACACTGAATTTGTGGAGAATAATATCATGGTTGGCTCAAAAAATTGTACGCACAGTGCATCCATGCGTATGCCTGGTTACGCCCCTGTGTAGTATGTTGATATCATAATGTGACTGGTACTTATTGCAACAGAGACGATCATATTTTCCTCCAGGTGGCGTTATAGTACTGCCCAGTTTGTCAAACATGGCGAAAACTGTTCAGATAAAAGCAGTGGACCATTTTAGAATCGCCATTGACCTACATAATATTATTTCATTTTGGGTGTTTTCTTCTGGTTTCTTTTTTAAATATATTTAACACAAATGCACTATATATATATGCATTTTGATTTTAGTAAATTGTTAATCAAGTTTTGCTTGTCAGATAAGAGTGAGGGTTGGACAGAAAAGCCCCTCCCCCATAAAGCAAATTGAACCTACTCTCTGGGAAGAGTTGTTACACCTAACGTGATCAGGGAGTGGATGCGAGGCGGTCTGGAAACTAAGTATACGAATATTTATGTTTTAACCTTTTCAGTATAACGTTTTAATGTATCAATGTTAGGGATTTAATGTTCACTTATTTGTAATTAATTTTATGAAAAGAACTGTGACGCGTGCATGTATAAAAATGGTTTGGCCACTCCCCAGTGTTTCCTCCACAACATTTTGCTTCCTCCATAACTTCACCTTATCACGACGTCCTCTGGAAATGAAAACTATTTCGGACTTCGTTAGTTGAAAAAGTATCGTCAGTTGAAGACGTACAAGAAGCAATCAAAAAAAGGGGAAATGCTGTGGAATCTCTCCATTTAAATTCCTATTTACTGACATGTAAATATTTGTAGTAAGCGGTTGGAGGTCGAAATAAAAAGAGCATAACAGACAGTAGGTATGCTGTATAAGTATTACACTTCCATTTCTAATTTCGGCACGATTTCACTGGTCCAGTTGTACTATTTCAGTCCGTTGAATATATAAGTCACTAGTCCAGTTGTACTATTTCAGTCCGTTGAATATATAAGTTGAATTATAGCTACACTGTAGAGATTTTTGTGTGACGGGAGCTTTAAATATTGTGGCTTCACTGGCCAACAATGTAAACCCTACAAGGCATAGGGGGCGAACTGATAGCGCAAAATACTGTTTCAAACAAATGTTAATCGTTCTGTTGATATCTTTAAAATAAAGCAACTAGAAACATGACATGTTTAAGACTGCGTGGTCGTCAGATACAGGTTTGGTTTATTTCAGTAAAGATATCTGTCCCTTATGCCTTTCAACGTGCTCTATTCTCGTAAGACCTTCAAGTTTGCCGCCGTGGCCTTTGTTAAATGGTACTACAATAATGATTACCCTCTACCAGGGCCATAGATTGATTTTTAACTTGATACACGTTTTCACAGATATGTTTCTAGTTAAACGATGGGACTTTTCTGTCCTGCGTACGTCAGAGAAAAGTGCACATGAATTCAGTGGCCCTGGGAGATTGTTGGATATTATACACGCGACCAAGAAAGTTCGGAAACGTGAAATTGTTTTTCAATAATAAAAAAAATGTAATGTGTTGGGAAAATCTGTGGAAATAAAGATAAACACATGGTGGGTTCATTATCCAACAATATTTCGTTAAAATATTTACCGTAAAAATATTTACCGTTAAAATATTTACCTAAAAAATAATAATGGTTATTTTGTAACTATTCAAAATAACAATGTTTCCGAACTTTTTAGGGCGAAAGTACCAGCAAGGTAACGAGTGGTGACTTGGCGTTACGTTGTCGTGCGAATAAAGTATGCACAAATATGGAAACTTTTGATCGTCGAGATCGTCATTTTTTTCATAAGACAAAAGTGAGTGTTTTGAAAGATCATTTGGAAGTTACAACAATTTACTGATATATTTTTCTGACAGTAATTTCATGAAATGTTCCCTTTTTCATGTTTTATGCTATAGTAATAATAAATCAAATAAATCATGTAAATATAGAAATAGTCACAAGTTATTGATCTTATTAGTCAGTGACGCACACATGTTGTGTGATAATTGATGAACTGCTTTATATATCCTTTTAATTACTGTCAATTTCTCAAATTTGATCTGAATTTTTTTTAAATGCTTGTAGATATTGATAACACCATACCATGAACGAGTAGTTAAGTTGACCGTTTATTGGTGAAATGTAATATATTTGTTGTATATGTTACGCCTTTGAGATATAACTTTTGTCTTACATGCATGTCTTACGGATATTCAAAGTGATTAAATAGTGATTTAAGTGTTCTTAAACTTGGTAGTTTTACACTAAAATGCTTAAATATAATAAATACGTAGTTGTTTGGCACTGAATAAAGACTTTCCAAATACACAAAACGTCTTAGTTATTACTTTGACGGTTGCGTTTCTCAGCGGCAACCTGGGGTTGGGCTTTGAACTTGTCTTACTTTTCTAAAATTTCTTTAATGTATTGGGATATATTAGAAGTTAACTTTGGTTACTACAATAATTTCATTGACTCAGTGGTACCCCTCGGGTTTGGGTTCGTTTCCTGGTTCGGGTACTTGGAAATCATTGAATACTTTTCAAGGGGCTTTACAGAAATTTCCCTTTGGTTACTATAAGAGGAAAGTCTTCCCGAGGAGGGTGGGTGGGAACAGTTAGAGGAGTAGGTAACGCGCTTGCCTCTGAGTCAAAAAGTCCCAAGTTCGAAACCTGGCGCTTCTGGGTCCCAGCAAATTACCTTTTGCAAAAAAATTCAAATAAGCAAGGTAAACTAATACAAGAGGCTCTATAGGTAAGACTACAGACTTGTGCACTGGAGAACGAGAGTTCGAATAGAGCTAAAGGGAACAGAAGGTGAAAAATGAAAGGGAATTCAACATACAAATATCTGTACACTATTTTCATTATTTATTGTTTCAACAAATTCCAAGTAAATTCAACAAAGCTTTATACAAAACAAAATAAGTGAAATTACGTTTTTCTACGTTGACAACTATCATTATAATAGCATCTAATTTCTAAAAAAAAATCTATAAATTATGCTTTTACAAAAAAATACAAGAAGTCTACCAGATAGTAGACTAACTAACACATATAAAGGATTTTATGCACTTTGGAAATTGCCGCTCAAACAACGAATTCTTTTTTATTTATATAAAAGAGAATTTCGACATAATTCTTACCAAATCAAAATTCATATAAAAAATTGACCAGGACTGGTAGATAAATTGAAATTATATCGTACTTGTCAAATTTCGTTAAAAGTTGGCGTTCATAATTGATTACTAATTTCATTGAGGAGCAAAGTGTCCAATTGCAGTTGTGTGAATGATATCGAAATTCCAAAATACATATAGGTGTCTTCCCCTCACGTGCACTCGCACTCACGCACACCTTGTTCTAAGCCGTCGTGCTGATTCTCGCACAGAAAAAGGTAGACAAAAACAGTCATTTTTAAGAATCGAGTGTTTTACATTATTTTGTTTTCATTTCATTACATCCTTGATATTGGTAGGTTAATGGCAAGACTGAGCGAAAACTTAAATTTGCACAGCATGCGAATCAGGAACGGCATAAAAACATGGTTAATTTCCAAGCTTATTCTAGTCGAAGCAATTCAAGAAAAATATGCAAACAAAGCTGAAATGATTACGCAAAAAATAAATAAATAAATAAATGGTGACTTAAGATTCATTAATTCATAAATGCTAATACCCTTACTTTGGTCTCCGGTGTTCAGTGATCATGAAAACAATTGGCAAAAGTACCCCAAGATGTGCTGGGCTGACCTTTTCCTCTCAATCACCTCTCGGCTAAAGAAATATCAATCAATAAAGCACTTCGAACAAAGTTACTCTACCCCCCCCCCCCCAACTTTTTGAGACGGCTGAAGCAATCAATTTGAATTGCATGATGAATTTTCGAAATAAAAAATGTAAAGGTTATGATAAATGCCAATCCTACATAGATATTTTTATGCATATGAACAAAGAAGTTTTTCAGGAGAGCACTTACATTTCTGCTTTGCGATATTGACAAAAGGTCGAGCAACTCACAAATTAGCTCATGCAATGCTGATAAATTTGGGTGGCCCTAAGAAGAGGCAATTTTATCAAGTGGGTGACATATATTCCCTTCCTGCAATAACGAATGCGCAGTAATTTCGTGAAAATCCCTATTTCTCCCCTGGTTTCATTTTCTTAACATTGTTTTAGACCCCTCCCAGCACAGAAAATGTGTATCTGTCACTGATCAGACAAAAATATCAAAACACCGAAACCAAAGTAAGTTCATTCTTAACATGCGTCACAAACGTATATCCACAATTAAAAAAAAAGGATCGTTTCTTATACATGGGCAATTCTGGAATCACGTGGACAAATTTAATCTTTTTCATAAAGCTGTAATATCCGAATCATTATAACTTGAAGTACAGTGTTTGTAAGTTAAGTTAAATTAACAACTTGTTCTTTTCTCAAACTTAACGGTCAATATATGTAACCGTTTGTCTCTCAACATGTAATAAAGTTGAGATATTTTTCTTCTTGGAATTTCTCAGAATTCAATTCAATTCAAAATAAATATTTAAAATATCCTCAAATGCACAGGTAAGTGGCTAACTGAAGATTTGCCCACAGAAAAATTTTACCTTCAACTAGAAAATCAATAGTGCTGGAACAGTACTCTACCTAAAATCGCCTTATAATAATAATAATAACTATCATTTTTGTTTTCATCCATCACTTCAGCAAATACTTTTTGCATTAGAATTATATTGTTAAAGGTGAACTCCAAAAAGTGCCGTATTTTTGTTTGAGAACTGATGGGTACCTCCTCCTGACACAATAATAAATATACATAATAAATAAAATACTTGAAACGATATGAGCGGATAGAGTGGTGTACTACGATTTAGAAACAAATCTATAATATATATCGACGATATCCATTTCTTTCTTTTTCTCTGATCAGAAGTTTCGTTAAAAAATTCTTGCTGCGTGCAACAATTATTTTTATACACATTTTATGCAGAATATTACTATCCAAGGCAAAGATTACATTTCATATCGAATGTCTACCCTGCAAATAAACTACAAGACAAACTTCAACAAGCGAGACAATCTTGGCATGGGCGCGGGCGATGTCCAACATGAATTTGATGTCTTTGATCGGCGACGCATCCAATCACCCGGTAAACAGAAGTTGGGAGCCACTGAAATAAACGAAGAAAATCACATTCACGACACAGTTTGATGAAGCAGTATGTGTATATCTTTACAGCATGCTATTCTGGAACACATGCAATATTATGTTTACAAAACACTATTGTGCCATCCCTATTCTTTTCTACTGTGTGCACACTGTTTAATGACAACATCCTTCTTTACGTAATATGTCATGTGAAAAGACCAGGGTCCCGTATCTCGAAAGCATCGCGTATTGCGAATAGCTATATCAAATAGAGGCTACAATGTATTATATGGGACGAGTATGGGCGAGATATGGAATCGAAACGCTTGCGCACGGTCGCAATGCGCGATGCTTTCGAGATACGGGCCCCAGGTGCACGGATTACGGAGATATTCACGGACATGAAAGCCAGTGAATGAAAACATTTGGCAGATGGGCCCAATTAGTATAAAATTGACAGGATCTAAAAAAAGACATTATCTAGGCACATTTTCTCTGACCAAGCCAGGGTTTTTAGGGGGAGGGGGCGAGGATACGAGGATACATTAACTGGATTTCGTCTAGTTTCGTGCCATGCGCATTTTTTTGCGCTTTTGATTTGTTCTTGTTCTTGTTTTGATTTGTTATTTTGTGAGGGAGAAGGGATACCTCTTAAACTAAGGGAGGGACACTGTAGCCTAGTCCACCACCCCCACCCCTCACCTCCCCAGCCTCGTCCCGTCGTTTCCAGGAATGCAGTGACACAATAGTTCAACATCTTATTAATGAATGTGCACTTGTCTGTATGAAGTTTACTTTTATAAACATTACATTTTTGATACTTTGAAAACAGGCCAGGGACCTCGCCAATAAATCAATTAGGAAAATGTAGATACCTGCCCAGTCGTCTTACTTGTTGAGAACTTGTTCAGACCTTTGGACAGCGGCAATAAGCCTCTCACTTCCTCATTGTCAAGTGCGTTCCTTCTCTGAAATTACAGAAAATAAATCATTCAAACTTAGAGCTGATTTTGAAATTCTAATTTAGAGTGTATTAGACATAAGTGCAATGTTCACACAGTCATAAGGACTAAAATGTCCCTGTGCGAAACGCATCATTTGGGTAAACGTCGTCTACACAAAATACACGGCGTTATCTTATAACATCTATGTAATACTACGTCAGCTTCCTGTAATTTTCTGTGCTAAATTTTGGCCTACATGTGGAAATTGCAGCAACGTACCAAGAACCTCTGTCTTCTCCATCTTCTACTGACCTTGGTTCTACCTGAACACCTCTCACCGAAATGCTCACTTGTATTACATAATAATGTACAGGGCACCCTCTTTTTGAACGCAAGTTTCGATTTAAACTTGTTTTTGTTATTTGATATGGCGCAAGGGGTCCTAATACCTGGATGGTGATTTAGGCTTTCTACCACCATAATGGCAAAAATAATAACATCTTATCAACCGTTAAGTTTGATATCAAATTATTTGGCTCTGTTTCAGCCCCCCCCCCCCCCAAAAAAAAAAAGTCATCTGTACCGATTGTGTTAGAGAAGACAAAATGCGTTTTTTGTTTACCCTATTTGTATAGAACGTTAAAATTAGTGACAGCGTTCATAAGGGCCTAGAGTGAGTACAGCTTAGTTAACTATAGCTGTCACAGCTAGGATTGACTTAACAGATGTTCTTATAAAGTACATAAAAAAACTAATACTGACTCAGACTAGGTGTAAATGTTCTCACCTCCCTTGGGAGGATACAGCCCAGAGAGGGTACCATTGAGGGGGGGGTGATCACAATTCACGGGAAAAAATTATCATTTCACAAAACACAGTAAATAAAACCTTATTCAGATTTCACTGAAAATGCTCGTCAAAAATCACGTATCACGAATCACCGGGTATAGCGTCTTTCTTTCACGAATAACGGAGAGTAAAAAGCCGCATGTACGAGTCACAGGAATGGGGTGCTTCACGCTAAATAAAATGAACGTTTCACGCATCTTGGGAAGTAAATAGTGGCTTTCACAGGTAAGGAAAATACCCAATGGCAGCCTAGTATGGGGCTGTGAAAACTAGCGTAGGAACAATACTGTCAAATGTTTCAATTACCTTTGCATCGAAACTTCAGATTCAACTACCTACTGTTAGAAGATCACTTTTACAAAGTTGAAGATATTACTCCCCCCCCCCCCCCATGCACCAAATTAAACTACCAGTCCAGACGCCACAAAAACGCATGTTCTCGGTCTTTACCAGTATTTCAGAGTCAGGACGTATTTTCTGAAAGGGAACTTTCAAAATTAATATGACCAAATTACATGTTTTTATGTAGCTTAGTGTATATTTGGGCGCAAATGTCTCCGTATGTTTATTTTTCACACAGCACAAGTCTTACTGAAGAATGAAGTAACATTTGAGAGCTAGCAACGCTGTCAAGGTCTGTACGGTAATCCGTATCAAAATTCAAGGTCGTGGGGTAAATATAATGCTTTTTATAATAAATAACAAAGCTAAGTTTTTATTTATTTATTTACAAAAAATAGTTATTGAGGATAAAACATAGTAAATTAATTTTTTGTCTTCCCCATGGCCCTCAGGTAATGGTAATTGATGTTTAATTACAAGAAATAATTTTAATTGATTAAAAATAAATAAGGTGACACCATTAGATAGCATTTTCAAAAGCAGACTCTAGTCTAATTAATCTATCGGTACGTGCACTTATCGGTAAATGGGTTTATAGGTATGGCGACATAGAAGTATCGGGTCCCGTTATCTGTCAAGACGTATCTGTCGAGACGTACCTATCAGGACTGGTAGGAATTGAGACTTAATAGAGCTGCATGGAAAAATGAACTTTGCTTTCTACTAACTAAAAGCAACAAAAGTGTTGTGATAGACAGGTGCCTATCAAACTCATACGGTTTAATTCAATTTTGACGGAAGCTGTCAAACGCACACGACTTTGAGTTTTATAAACAAACTTCAATCAAAATCATTACGTTGTTGAAATCTACAGTTGTCGAACATGCAAAGTTCCAGCTTCCTTCACCATTTGATCGACAACGTGCCAATCAAATCATTCAGTTTTGACAGATCCCATCAAGTAATAACTGCTTGATTGACGGGTTATATAAACAAACGTCAATTGTGGGACTAGCAGACGCAGAGACAAAAAAAAAAAAAAATCTGAGGTTTTGGTCGTATTAAGGAATGACAGTAAATAGAAATATACTTTATAAAGTTCTAAATCTTTTCAAACTTTGTAAGTATTGTTAAAATTAATTATTGAAAATTGTTCTTTATTACTTTCATCTACATGACTTTATTCTTTTTCCTGTCACAAGAGACTCAAGAATACATCTGTAACGGTCTAGTTTGTTCCCACGCTCGGCTGTCACCTTGATTGGATAGTAAACGATTGTCGTAAAATCGCTAAATGATATTAAAACCGGGTGCATAAACTTGAAAACCACCTACAACAACCTTGGACTACCACATTAATCCAATACAATGCAAAAATAAACTAAAACAAGTGGTTAAAGCCGTCAAACCGAATGTCGTAAAGTCCCCATATACCTCCATAGAGACAATAAAATAGAA